TCAACAAAAAGATGATCAATAGTTTCAATATCCTTCTCACAGAAGGAGCATAATGGTAATCAATAAGTCTTAAATTTGAAACGATGGCAGTTAGTTGGAATTATTCTATGTAAGATTTGGAATTGTAACCATTGAAGTTTTGATTCTTGGGTTGTTTTGAAACCACTGAATATAATTTAATGATATTTTCACTGATCTTTAAATACATATATAATGCCATTGTGCACCTCCTATTTTACTTTTTTGATCTGACATTTATTGTCTCCCAGAACACAACATGGACTTTGTCATTTATAACCATAGGGGAGGATTTGGGGTATCATTTAGTGAGCTCATTCAGGGCTCCCACTGGACCGAAAATATTTTTCGCCACTTATCGCGACAAAAGGAAAGGCATTATTAAATCTGATTTCTCGACAATGCAATGCACTTTATGTTATTCCTTTTTTTTTAATCATGTTTATCACAGACATTGTTTTAAAATTGTAATGTTTAAAGCTTATGGTAGTGTCCATTTAAAAAAAAAAATAAATAAAGTTGGAATTATACAATTAATTTGATATTGAATTGATATCAGCCAACTCTTGACAAAAAATGTCCTCTTGTTTATAATTTTTTGTTTGCCTGGGAAGGGGGAAGGGGGGGGGGATACAGACGTAGTAAAAATATATGACATTTTCTAAAAATGTAAATTTTCATCATTTCATTAATTAATTGGGAAAAGAAGTAATTAAAAAGTATTGAGAATTAGATTTAAAACTTGACTTTATTTTAACAACTTTGGACTCTAGACTCCAGGGTATAATATGCAAGCTCGTGTAATTGTAAATAATTCAGTGTAATTTACTAAGATAATTCTGTTTCCAAACCAATTTCCTTTTCACTATTTGTCAGTTTATGGTATAATGTACACATTTTACAATGTTCATTAGGTAAAATTTGAAGCCATTGTTTACAATTTTCGTCATGTTTCCCTACTTTCGGTTTTAAAAAAAACGATCTCCATAGATCCAGATTTTGTTGATAATTTTTTTTAATTTACTAACTTCATCTCTAATAACACTTTATCCCCCTTGTTAAATCCAAGTTATATTATTTCAAGCAATTTTATAACCCTTTATTGCTCCAGGCTAGTTACCTAGTCAGCTGTGTTCGTTCAAGCGAGACGTGATTTCCTACATGTACTGTGTAGGTGTCAATTTTCACACCTCTGCTGAATTAAATAAACAATGGGAGTTACCTGTATACATTGAATAAACAAAGGAGCTAACAAGGACTACACAATTTTTGTACATGGTACATCTAAAAAAATCATTTTCGCCACTATGAATTTCTTTTCGCCACTTTTGAAAAAAATTCGCAATTGGCGACAATGGCGAATCACAGATCGAACCCTGAGCTCATTGCTCAGAGTACTTCTAGTTAAACCCCTCGCTTGAAAAGCGGGAGGTATATAGTAATCGGGATGTCCGTTCGTCCGTCTGTTACGCTTCGGGGTGCCCATCTCTTATCCGCAACTCCTCTTTTACCACTGAATGAAATTTGATGAGACTTTCACATAATCTTTGATACATATAGCCCTTATGCACCTCTTTTTGTACTTTTTGATCCGACACACATTTTGGGTTTCCCATGGAAAAACATGGACACTGCCATTATATTCTTGCCTATGATGTGAGGTAGGGCGGCTTCTGAATAACATGGGACACCACGAGTTATACCAATTTAAACGTTACCGTAAAACAATATAGAAAACATGGACACTGCCATTATACTAGTATTCATATGGGAGGCGGGGGGTATCATTTAGTGAGCTCATTGCTCACAGTACCTCTAGTTTTGATTATAGTTTTATTGCAAATATTTAATTTTCTTTGCTGGTCTGTTCCTATACTGAGCAACAAATAGATTGTCTTTTGTATCTATACACAGTCTTCCGGGATCACTCAGTCCACATTCTATGTAACGGAGGAACTATCCATCCTGGTCTATGATGTGAATACAGTCATATAACATCAGCTGTAAGGATGTGACTCTGACTGTCTGTGGTGATTCCTCGTGGATAGAATGGTTAGTTCTTTTGAGCAGGAGTATGTCCAGTGTACCTAAATGTCAGTTTCCCGGACTGATTGACCACCACCTCTGCTTTAGCTCCATTGTTAGACACACTGATATCCAGGTTTTTGTTTTCAGTAATATAATCAGAGTGGTCTACCTTAATCATCAAACTGAATGGTTTGTTTCTCTGAGGAGCCAGAGTAACAGACAACTTTAAATTGTTTGTTACTATCACTGACCATGATAACCAGGAGGTCACTAGAGGAGGTACTACAGACACCTTTAAGTCTCCAGTTCTATAGTCTGATCAATTCCTCTATCTTCTCCTTCTTCACAACGTTCACATTTCCATCAATATGATCTAGAACTACCCTTTTTGTCACTGTTATGTCAGATGAATTCCTCCATGATTTGATCCGCAGAAATATGGCTGAAAAATTGTCGACTCGACGTTAAACAATATACAATCAATCAATCCATGAATTGACTTCCTCTTATTGTCACTGCTATGTTATGTACATAGCCAATTGACTTGGTTGTGATTGACTTGAGTACTTAGTGATCCCTGATTGATGCTGAAGAGTTTCATGGTTCGGTCATTTAATTCCACATGTCCACAATTCTGTATCACTTAGACAAGCCACACTGTAAAGATATTCATACCCAGTGTTTATGGTGGTGGTGACAGTCTCTGGTTCATTAAGCGGGTGTTAAGAGAGGATTCAGCTTCTGGTGATTTCTGTGTTGTCTTCATGTTGTAGCCATGTTTATCTTAAGTTAAAGAATTTTGTGATAATCAGGTTCCAAACAGTTTACTGAGTTCAGCTAGGGATTTTTCCGGGAGTAAATTTCATCATATGCTTTTCAATACTAGTTCTTATTGCCATTTTTGTTGTGAATTGCACACGAGGAATTTAGAAATACCGGTACTTTGTATATAAAAGAAGGTTACAAAGATCAAAGAAAACAGTGGCTTCCTTTTCATTCACATTATATATCCCCGCTTGAAAAGCAGGGGGTGTGTAGTGATCAGGGAGTCTGTCCGTCTGTTCAGCTTTGATAAACCCATCTCTTATCCGCAACTCCTCCTATACCAATGAATGAAATTTGATGAGACATCCATTTCGATGAATCTTTGTTACATAGTGCCATTGTGCACCTCCTATTTTACTTTTTGATCGGACATTTATTTTGAGTTTCTCAAAACAAAACATATGGACACGGCGAGCCTGCCGAGATTTTGAAGACATAAAATAAATTCTATACTGTATTATTATAATAATACACACGATAATACTCTAGACACATGATAATGCTTTTACATCTTATACAAAATAAAATCAAAACAAACAACAGCAAAATTCCAGTTCAGTACTCTTTAGAGTCATGCCGCCTTTAGATCGACAAAAAGAGGGGTATCAAAAATTCCTAACACTCTCCATTTATATACATCTTTTATACTCTAGACATCGATAGAAATTAATATTTTTTTTTTATGAATTAATTATTCATAGCATGTGTAAATTTTCTGATTTACTCTGCATAGTATATAGGCTACAGATATTTTAATTGTGCCTAGCCATTTCCTATAGCTTGTAGTCAAAGTATGAAGAAAGTGTTAAAAAAAGGTTTAATATAAAATTATTTTAAAAAATTGCTGTTACATTTAAAATATTATTGCCAAGTACTTCTTGTGTTATACATAATGTATGAAATAATATAGCTATATCTTACAAAATAAAACGGATAAAATGTCTTAGATACGTATGTGATGGTATCAAACCTACATGAAATATTGTTTAGCTACATTTTTTAACATGATTTTATTTACAAACGTAACGCATGCATAGACTTGTGACAATGAATGTAAAGGTCGGACAAAGTATTAAAATGATGAAATCAGTCGTCACTTCTATATTTAAACATAACATCATATACGATTAAATGCTACATCCAATAAAAATCCATCTTCTAGATCACATGATTCTTCTATCCGTACACAATTAGGGTCATTTCTGAGCGAGGTGTGTATGGAGAAAGACGTGAAATGGATATTCTGTGTGTTCATATTTAAAATATCATCCGACGATGGTTAATATTTATTGTTCTGACACTTTTTCTCGGAGTAATTATACGCTGTAATTCATTATGACGAATAATTTCGATAATTTTTGAAACGACGTGTGCTTTGATTTTAAATTCTCCGGATCTGTTATAATCATCTTTGTGGGAAAATCCGGAATTTTTTTTAAAAATTTACTTTTTCGTATTTTTTTTAAATCTCGAATTTTAATAATTTACCGTAAATCCGGAACTCAGCTCGGAAACGTATCGATCTATAAGAAATACGTGTACAAGTCGTGTTTGTAAATAGACGAGTTCAAAATTGTTTGTATAACCTATTAACGTCATAAATATTGACCTACCACACAGAATATCCTGAAGCCACTAATTCAATGTACGAAAGACGTAGCCAGTGGAGAGGAGTATATTTAGACTTGACAACTTTGATTTGTCTCTCGGATTGAGATTCTGGGATCCGCCCACTTATCGTAAATCTGAGGACGTCAAAGTTCAAGAGTTTATACTATGAGTCTCACTGTCACAACACCAGTACACAACACTGATAAAAATAATCAATACACATAATGATAAAAGTGAGAACTACATGTATATATATATAATTTCATATATTACTATAAATTATAAAGAAAACATATAATTTAATTTCAATTATTGCTACACAATAGTCAAAATACAACTTACTTATAGCAATTAAATTATTATAAGTGAAAAAGCTATTTCCTCTTTCATACGTCAATATCACGCATATCAAAATTAATAATTACACAAATTCAATGACAAAAATAATATATTTATTATATAAAAACATGTAAATTTGAATTATTAATAAATATTAATTTATATACATTTGATCAGCCGATTGAAAAGTTGCACACACGAGAAAAAAAAGAAACCAAAGAAATTACATTTGAAACAACGAAGGATGACGAATATGGAACTGAACGTTGACAACCTGATCAGCCGACTTCTTGAAGGTAAGTAACTTTTTCTTCGCTTTAAAATATTTTATTGCATTCTTTTTTCAATATCTTATTCAGTATGCAATTTAAATGAATAATTATAACACGAAGTAGCTTTTCATAATATTTATATACATAATATATAAGTACGTATAGAAACATAATACCTGTGCAAATTTTGCGTTTTCATGTGAAGCAACATGTGAAGTTATCCGAATACTCTTTGTACGATATATCTAATTTGCCGTCCCAAACAGCAAGGCGCGGGAAATACGACATATTCATGTAAAAAGATATTAGTACAACAATGCAAGGCAGAATTATTTATTTTTTTTAATGAAAACAGGCTTATTAAAATTAACGAATGACATTCAATTAAAAAATTATATTCTGTTATTTGCCTCGGAGTTGTTCCCCTTAGCTGCCATCTTGTAGGGCAAAGACGTCGCGCATAGTATTGGGGTTTGAAATTGCTTAGCTTGTAAAACTATAAACGAGGGGCGTTGGTGTTTTTGGTCATTTTATCGTTTTGGCTACAGGGATTTTTCTGGCAATTTGTACCAAGTTTCTATAACTTTCTGTGATGATGTCACACAACATTCATTAATAAATTTCTAATTTACGGACTGTTCGTAAAATAGAAAGCGTTTCGTAACATGCCGTAATCTTGACAAGTTACAAGAAAAGATAGAATGTTTCATATAGATTTTTTTTACTATAAAACAGGTTCTTTTTATAAAACTAAGTTGATAAATGAAATGTGCAAATCAAAAAGTAGTCAAATGTTTCTTTGAAAAATTATAAGCAAGCAGTAAGGGAGACTAATAGAGCGATTTTGATGTCTAGTCGGTTTTGTTACTACGACACAAATATATGCGTATTATGGTATTTAACCGGGCGTATAACACCAATGTGAGCTATATTCTCTATTTACTGGGAAAACTTTTAATAGATAAAATATTATTTCTAAAATGTGAAAATAAATGAAATTTTGTATTTAAAGAAACATTAAAAACTAAGACATTTTTAAGAAAACAAGAGCAAAAATTGAATGTCTAGTCTGATTTTGAATTTTTGACGTCTTTACGCTTAAACGACATATGCAATAACGTAAGAAGGTATATTTTGACGTTACAAAATCAGCCCCAATTCTGGGCGCGACGTCTAAGCAGTCTTTGAGCAACCAATTTTAAACACGCATGCCAGAAATATATGAGGGAAAATATTTACAATCTTAAGATTATAATTTAAAAGAGGCTTTAACAAACGTACTTTCTTAAGAAAAATAGTATTAACTTTACCCCAGTAACCAGCTAGTATAACAAATTGAACTTTACGCAGGTTGAATAATAAAGGGACCTGGGAATGTTGCCCTACAATATGGCGGCTATGGCGAATTACTCTTGCTTAGATTATCTCAATGGAAAACCATTTATTGAATTCAATAATCCAAAAAAAATAAATAATCCATATAAATGGTTAAGAAATTGAAATGGAATCAAATTATGATTGCATCTTAGCATAATGTTTGTGTTCAAATTTCAGTTAGAGGATCCAAACAAGGCAAACCTGTTAAAATGACGGAAGGAGAAATTCGAGGACTTTGTCTAAAATCCAGAGAAATTTTCCTCAGTCAACCCATTCTATTGGAGATCGAGGCCCCAGTCAAAGTCTGTGGTAAGCTAAAAAGAAGATATATTAAATATTCATTTTTTCTAATTTGGTGCACATTTGTGTATTTTCAAATAAATTTAAAGTGGAAATTATTATATTAAATTTCATTTTCCACATGCCGTTAAATTAACGGATTTTAACAATCACATGTTTGATTTGAAATCAAATGTCACGGACAATGAGTTGTATTTTGAATGTATCTTTTGATTTTAGGTGATATCCACGGTCAGTACACAGATCTCCTTCGTTTATTTGAGTACGGAGGATTTCCCCCGGAGTCTAACTACCTTTTCCTGGGGGACTATGTGGACAGAGGGAAACAGTCTCTAGAAACCATCTGTCTTCTTTTAGCCTACAAAATCAAATACCCAGAAAATTTCTTCCTCCTTAGAGGGAATCATGAATGCGCCAGTGTTAATGTATTGTATGGATTTCATGATGAATGTAAGTCTCTCGTTTAAACAGTAACAATTCTCGTGTAACATTTGTTATTCAATTTTGTACCATATTACTGTAGACCTTTTTTTCAATTGGCTGCAATAAAATTATATCGAAAAACAAGATGAAGCAAACCTTTCAATATACGCCAAAAAAAAAGTTAATTGATCATGAATATACATTTCAGGTAAAAGAAGATTCAGTGTAAAATTATGGAAGACATTTATAGACTGTTTTAACTGCTTACCTGTTGCTGCTGTCATCGATGAAAAAATATTTTGTTGTCATGGAGGTAAGGGTTGTTTAAGAATAAATTTGATTGAAATACATACATGTAGTGAAACCATTTGTACAGTTCATCAAATGAGTCATGTTTTTGTTCTTTTTAGGGTTGTCTCCAGATCTGCAGTCCATGGAACAAATCAGAAGAATCGCCAGACCAACAGATGTCCCAGACACAGGTACGCAAATGGTTAAACCCAAATTTTTGTTATCCTTATTTTTATATTATTTAACTAACTTTAACATCCAATTTATTCCAGCCTTTATGCGTAAATCAGCTTGTTGAAATTTGGAAGGTTATGCTTACAAAGATATACTACATAATTATGTACCACGCTTTAATATGTACATGTACTTACTGTTTAAGGTTTACTGTGTGACCTTTTGTGGTCTGACCCTGACAAAATGGTGAAGGGCTGGGGAGAGAATGACAGAGGGGTGTCCTTCACCTTTGGTGCTGACGTCATCAGTAAATTCTTAAACCATCATGATCTGGACCTCATATGCCGCGGTCATCAGGTAAAAGTGTGCAGTATTCTTGCCACAGAAAATTTTACTCTCTATCCTTTTCTCTATCAAAACTTACTTTTTTCAAATAGAAAAGCATCATGTTCTTCTACAATGAATTGAAAGTACAAAAAGTGAAATTTTGTTTATTGCATCATATAAGCTTATATGCCTTTTACCTGTTCAATTGTAGGTTGTTGAAGATGGATATGAATTTTTTGCCAAAAGACAACTAGTGACGATATTTTCAGCTCCAAATTACTGTGATGAGTTTGACAATGCTGCCGCAATGATGTCCGTGGACGAATCACTCATGTGTTCATTCCAGGTAAACCTTATATCTAAAACAGAAATGTTTCATTACAGCTTTGTCATTTGTGAAGAATGCATGGCTGAAAATATTTTTGAATTACTGTACAGGTATATATACATAAATAACCAAATATCGCTTTCTTTTAGAGAGACCTAGAGTGCTTGGTTGTAATTGTTATGCTTTTTACCCCTAAATAATGTTTTAAACAATTTGTTTTAGATACTGAAGCCTGCAGGAAAGAAACAGCTGTACAATTATCAAGGGCGACCGAAAACTCCTCCTCGACGGATGTTTACCGATTTACTGGAAGTGAACAAAGAAAAGACGGACAAAAAAGACAATAAAACGAAAGAGAAATTTTCATCACAATTATGACTTTTGAAGCTTAAATATAATATTGAAAACGAAACGATTATATTTAGCAAAAAGTTTTTATATCTAATTGAATTGTAATTCATATACCTATGCTAAGTGTGTGTTTTTATGTTATGTTTTGATTATCTATGCACTTTTACATCGTGAATTTTATTATTTGTCAAATGTATAGATAAACAATTTTTGTTACTCTTACTTTGTTTGAAGTAAAATAAAAAAAATCTTCATGCAAAAAGCATATATACTCTATTATTAAAAAAGATAGATTAATTTTGGAAAGTGTGTTGTTTTTTAATTTGCCAAATTTAGGTCCAATGGAAAAAAGCTTTCAAATTAAATGCATTTGACGTGCAGTACATCAATGAACTGTTCACGAGTATTTTCATGGAATGTTGAAAAAACTAACTAAAGCATCGATAAGAATTGAACTGAAACCCCTTAAAATATTACATGTATACCAAACAAATCATATCTTTTTCAATTATGAAAAAACAAATTTAAGAAAACTTGAGACATGACATCTTTATTTCTATTAGTGATTTAACCATCTATATCCGGTATTCGTTGATACAATTGCTGATATCTCCCAAATTAAGCATTATTTGAGCGGAATTGCATTGTAAAAGATAAATAAAAAAATATATTAAATCAAAGTACTGAAAGTACTGAAAAGCGGTTAGCATGCTTTCATCGAATATGTACAGTGTACAATAACAAAAAATGCATTGAATGATGATATTAAGGTAAGCATGCATATCTTTGTCCAATGTCATCAGCGAAGAAGCAGACGCACTGAATTTTGTAGTACTTAACTAAATGGTAAAACCAATAACATCCCAGACTGATGTCACAAATGTATGTTTCAAAATATGAACCTGAGATTTTCAGTTTGAAAGACAGGAATTTTAATTTCAAGAATTTCTCCCTAATTGTCTCCATTGGTGGCGTCCAAAAGTGCTCAGAACGAAAAAAAAATTATGTTGATGTTACAAATTTAATTGTCTTTCATGCTCTATTGATTCTGAAATTAGGTAACTGTAAAGGCTACTATAGCAAACAACTCAAAAAGAAAATAAAATGATAATTCAAATTCTTTAGATTAATTTATTTGGAGTACTGTACATAGATCTTTAGCTGGCTAGTCTGAGAAAAACGGATGGACGAGCAGAGAATTAATTAATTTCAGAAAGCTTCAGTTTCGTAGGCTCACTGCGGGTCAGCAGGTGTGACCTGTCGTTGGGGATACTTACTTCTCCTAGGCACCGGAACTTTCAAGGATCCGTTTTTCTTTTGAGACCGATCACTGTTCATTCTGTATTTTGATGCAGATACTGAGTACATCTGTTTATTAATATTATTAATTATTTCTCTCACAGGAAGAAAGACAAGTGAACAAGATAATAAAGTTTTAAGAAATGTAAATTACTGACTTTTCATACAATTAAATGTTCAAATAAGTAAATGGTATATGACAATTATTTAAAAAAGAGTCTTGCACGATATGTATAAACGAACATAAACTGAGTATTTTTGCAAATATTTTTCATGCAATATTGTAAAAAAAAAAACGTGTGAAAAGGAAAGTTGTTGTTTAATCCATCAATACTAGTATTTTAAAAATTCAAAGGTTCACTAAAAGTCAGTGTATAACAAACAATTTAATTGTCCATTGCAAGAAGTACCTAGGTATCATTGTCACTTTCTTCAATATGTCGCATAAGCAATACATTGTTTTTTTTTTTTTTTTTTTTTTTTACTAAAAACAAGTATGCGAATTTCTATCAATATGCCTGTAAGCATCTGTATTTTAATTTTTATATCTTCTCAAAGGCTCAAAATGATAATTAACAAATTGGACAAATTCAAATTTAAAAGGTATTTTTACAACTTATACCTTGCATAGGAATTTAGCAAACTTTCAAAAATAATCATTTATTAGATATAATTTTCAATCTGTGCTAATTGTCAAGATTTTTCATACCTCTTTTTTCTGTGCATATTTTATATTGGCTGATTTTTAGAAGAGAATTGAATGCCGATTAATTTTTTTTCAAATTTATAAAAATTAATTTTAGTATTTTCAGGGTCCCATTATTTTTTTAAATAAAAATGTGATCGTTTATAATCGTTTGTAATAAGTAGACTGAGTACAGAATTTATCCCTGGAAACAAAGCTTTTATCATCTTTTAAATAATTTCAATTGGGAAAAAAGGAGAAGAAAACAAACGTTTCATTATGGAAGTAATCCATAACTGTACAACTTACAGATGTATTCAGTATTTTTATATAAAGGCTTTCTTTGTGTACTAGTATTACTTAAGTTAATTAACGGGATGCCTTTAAGTTAATATTTTGGCAAGGAAAATGAAACTCGATCGAGAGATTCTCCGATGTTTTGCAGTCGGTAATAACCTTCAACCCCTTTAGCCAGTAATTAACCCGTCCTCCCTGTGCCCAGTAGCATAATTCAGTCAAATATTTATTGTTCATGAGGGATGCCTTATAATTAATCACAGGCACCTGGATTTTTATCAGTAAGTCTCTAAATTAGCCAAATATCGAAACATTCTACCCCCTCTCTATATAAATACACAAGGTGTGCAACGCCATTTTATGGCACGCCAAATTCACAAAAATGAGTAAAATATAGTTTCACAGTCGATAAACTAGGTTTATCGGTTGTAAACTATAGTTTACGGATTGTAAACTATAGTTAACAACGTTAATCTATATTTTACATTTGTAAACCATAGTTAACGCGATAATCTATGTTTCACAATCGTAAACTATACTTAACAACGAAAACAATCATTTGCGATTGCAAAACACAGATTATCTGATAAATACAGTTTCACGATTTGTAAACTATAGTTTACAAACCGTTAACTATAGTTAACGATCTGATAAATATAGTTTCACGATTTGTGAAACTATGATTAACAACTCTTAACTATAGTTTACGATTGTAAACTATAGTTTACAAACGTGAATCCATGTTTATCAACAAAATCTATTGTTAACGCTTTATTCAGACAGATAAACTTAGATTAGCATTCGTAAACTATAGTTAACGACCGTTAAATATAGTTTTACAGATGAAAACTATACTTAACGAATCGTTAACTATAGTTTACGGTTTGTAAACTATAGTTTACAGTCGATAAACCTAGTTTATCAATTGTGAAACTAGGTTTATCTCATGTTTGTGAATTTGGCGTGCCATACCATTTTGACCCCCTGTTCGATTCAGGCTTTAATTTAACACATAAATCGGATATGCCTACTGGTTTTCGTGTAGCACTGGGTTCAAATATGATATTTCTCGCTATATATTTCTTCCTAAAGTTTAAATCTAACGCGTTGATAATGTTATCAGCTAAACTTCATGCTGACTTCGAATTTCGTCACAGGGCCCGATCGCCATCAGCTGACGTCACGGAAATTTAATCTCGATACCAATTGCTCCTATACATAAACTTTTTTAATACAACAATTATACATTTATTTCATTGACAAACAAAATCAGAAAAAAATTAAAAACCGAACGATTATATGTTGTTTTGATAGTCTTGATTTTATTTAACATATGTTATATGTGTTAGAAACAAATCATAGGTAGAGGCTTTGTTGAAGTTTTCGTTGTCGATAGGTAGCGCCTTATGGAAGTTTCCGGTGTCGATAAAAATTGCGTAATATCGTTGGACATAAAACGAAGCTAACCGCTTAACTGACTAAAAAGACTTAAGTGATGGGTGTCCGGCGATTGCGATTGCAATTCACCTGACGTTCATCGTCTGAAAACTTTTCACAATTAGGATATATTCAGAAGCCAATTTTAACCACAAAAGCATCCCTGGGTGAAAGAAATTTACATTTATTAAAATGAAGCACCATACAATCTTTTAGGGGCGATAGGACAGAATAAATGAAAAGCTAATATGCATTAAACATCTTCACAAAGACCATTGCACCAGAAAAGAGCTCAAGGAAAACTCATTTCTCAGAATAAAAAGGAAACAGCAAAAGTCATGTCTGGTAATATTAATACAGAAATACCATCAGGTAGCGTAGATTCAATTTTGTTCAAAAACATGAACCTAGGATAGGATGGTACCACCATGGAAGATCAAACTGTTTCACAGAGTTAAGTATTTAAGAATAAACCACCATGGAAGATCAAACTGTTTCCCAGAGTTAAGTATATAAGAATAAACCAATTTCATTCATTATTGGTTTAGAAAAAAATATTTAAAATCACCCATAGCTAATGTAGATTCAAGTTTGTCCAGAGCATGCCCCTGGGGGTGGAAGGGGGGAGGGGTTGAGTGGAACAACTTGTATATTGAAACATTTCTGATATTGCTATATTCGCTGACCAGCTAAGGTGAGTGATGTGGGCATGGGCATCTTCTTTAGAATAAATTGCACTTTTGCATGTTCATATCACTGTATAGAATTACACACTAAGATATAATATTTCCTATTAATCTGTTTTCTGTGGTTAAATCTTAAAACAAATAGTTTATATACTTCCTTAAAACAATTGGAAGTATTACCTTAAAACAATTAGAAGTACTGGGCATTATTTTGATACAGTGCTGTAAAACAATGCTGTGGATTGTGGTTTTAGCAACGTTGATTCATCTTTTATATTCATCACAGATTAAACTTCATTTGACAGGTTTGATATTTATTTTCTAATTTAAAATAACCTTTATGACAGTTTATAGTTCTGTTAAGATATTCAAAAAAGTCTACAATTTCCTTCGTCTATACCTTGCTGCAAGTTATACAAAAAATTATAATATATTTTAATTTATATAAATATAACTTTTTCCATGTTTTTGTGTGAAAATTTGCAAGTTTTAAACAATTTCTGCATTTGAAGAAAAATGCATAAATATTCATTGCTTTTAAATCCATAAGCTGCAAATGAAGTGCAACATCAACTTCTTATAAATGA